ACAGTATTTTTTTATGTTTGTTACCTCAGAACTTTTTTTCTACGACGTTTATTTTTCGGAAGTTGAAAAAAGTAAATGATGAAATTCTATTACATTCCTTTATACTTTACACATTCTAACTGTGTAGTGGCGGTTCAAGAACATCCACTACTCTATATCGTCCCGTAGGTGTCGTAAGAAGCGAAAAAGTGAAACATAGCGGGAGATGAGCAGCCACGTCTTTCTAATAACAGCCAAAAAAAACTGCGGTTGGCAACTCGCATGCCTAGCGTGACAGCTATGGCAAATATCCCCCCTATAAAACCATATGATATTGAACGTGTTAGAGCAACTTTTCAGCTATATTATTGTTATAACATGAATGGGTTGGCTTAATTAGGATAGGATAGACATAGACATAGATATATGACATATAATATAGACATATAGACTGGAAAGGATACGGTATTAACATCAATGGCGAGTACATCACTCGCCTTCGATTTGCCGACGATATAGTCCTTATGGCAGAATCACTGGAGGACCCAAGCACCATGCTCAATGACCTGTGTCTTGTCTTGGGAGACACTATTCTTTGTCAATGAATAGTGTCTCCCAACGAATAGGTCTTAGGATGAGCATGGACAAAACAAAGATCATGTTTAATGTCCATGTCACACCTATGCCGGTAGTTGTTGGGAGCACTAAGCTCGTAGTTGTTGATGAGTATGTTTACCTGGGACAAATATTCCGACTAGGTAAGTCCAACTTCGACCGAGAGGTCAATCGACGGATTCAATTCGGCTAGGCAGCGTTCGGCATACTACGACACATTTTCTCGTCAGACATACCTCAAAACCTTAAAACGAAATTGTACAACCAGTGCGTGTTTCCAGTGATGACTTACGGATCAGAGACGTGGTCCTTCACTGCTGGCCGTATTAGGAAGCTCAAGGTCGCTCAGCGAGCTATGGAGAGGGCTATGCTCGGGGTTTCTCTGCGTGATAAACTTAGAAATGAGTATATCCGCAGTAGAACCAGAGTAACCGACAAAGCCCAACGGATTATTAAGCTGAGGGCCAGCCATATAGCTCGAAGAACCGACAACCGATGGGGAAGAAAGGTTCTTGAGTGGCAGCCTCGTACCGGTAGGTGAAGTGTAGGGCGACCCCCCACGAGATGGAGTGATGACCTGGTAAGACATGCGGGAAGTCGATGGATGCAGGTGGCTCAGGAATGTGCTTTGTGGCATTCCTTCGGGGAGACCTATGTTCAGCAGTGGACTTATGAGAGGCTGTAATGATGATGATGATGATGATGAATGGTCTCACAGCATACCCGCGAAAAATGTAGCTTAATGCTGCTGTGTTAATATGGTGAGTGTAGAGAACCGGAGACCTTTTTTAATTGGAAACGAAGCACTCTATCTTAGTTCTCAGGGGTGACAACGCATAAACATCACCGACCGATCTTGATGATTATTTTTTATTTGCATGTTTCGTTATATCCAACGGGGTACGTAGAAGTTCAAATGGCCGAACATATAGCTCAAAACACCGACCATCGATAGAGAAGGAAGGTTCTCGAGTTGCAGCTTCGTACCTGTAACGAAAGGTAGAGCGGCTCGAGTGATGACCTGGTAAGAGCTGTAGGAAGTCGATAGATTCACGTGGCTCAGGACAATTTTAAGGCATTACTTGGGAGAGAACTGTGTTCAGCAGTGAACTTGTGATGAGCTGTAAGACAATCTTCATTTATTATGATAATAAAATCTTTTAGGCGGATTCCGGGCTCGAACATCACCCACGTAAGGAAATGGAGTGATGGATTTACTACAGAACACGGCTTATTACCTACTTGTGACTGTTTTCTTCATTTTTATTTATTGATTTCTTACCTTAAGTCTTCTGTTTTATCGTCGACTATATTTATACTTATAACAAAAATGAAAAATGTATTTTTGTAATTTTGTAACACAAGAGATTGCAAGGGTCTTCATTATCCACCATTACAGTCTTTATAAGTCAATTGCTGAACATAGGCATCCGCCAAAGATATTACCTCATATGGCAGGATTTCGCCATAATTGATACGCCTGGCGAGCGAATCGTCAACCGCAGTTTTTCAATCGCTATATTTTTTTGTATAATACCTCAGAAATTTTTCCAAGATGAACCGATTTTTTTATAGGATAAGGGTGACAAACGAGCACACAGTCCATCTGATGGTAAGTGGTTGCTGCGGCCCATAGACATCTACATCTATCCTCTGTTACAAATCAAAATGTAGATGCGTTGTCACCCGTGAGGACTAAAGATGGAATGCCTCATTTCCAGTAAAAAAGGCCTCCGGCCACCTACACTCACCAAGGGAAACGCAGAGGTAAACCTCTACTTCACGCTGGTTTTCTGTGAGGTCGTGGTACTACCCCGGTTCAAGCCGGCCCATCCGTGCGACAGCAAAAGTTGCCGCGTGGCTCTACCACTGTTATTCTTTTTTGATTTTAGATTTTGATGATTCTTTTATTAATTATATGATGACTTTTTTATTTAAAAGCTGGTGCTTCTCATGTGGTCCCTAATATTAATTTGATCAAGATCTGACTATTGGTTTTTGAGTTATCCTTAATAATGCATATTTAATTCACTTGGATTATATTGATGATGTTCTCATTTTATTTATATTGAAGTCGGTTGTACAAAATTTTTAACTTTACGATTTGTTATCAAAAAACTTAAGAAATTCATCTGCTAGATGTAAGATATAGCAGCGAGCAGACAGTACACTTGAATGTAAGTGATGTGTATGCATTGTCACGCCTGAGGACTAAGATGGAATCTAAACTAAGATGGCCTCGTTTCCAGTAAAAAGGATCTCCGTTTCTCTACACTCTAATAATAAACATAGCAGCATGAAACGATTATTTTACGCTGCTATTTTGTGTTGTTTTGCTGTTTCGCTTCTTACGAAACCTACGGGACGATATGGGGTAGTGGATATTTTTACACAACCACTTCGCGGGTAGAATTTGTAATTATAATGTGTAAGTTTAAAGGAATGTAATAGAATTTCATCATTCAGTTTTCACTAACTTCTGAACGATATAATGTTTTCTAAAATGTAATGCCTCACCATTAAAAATTATCCGGTTCTCGTTGTTGACTAAACGAAACATAGGAGCATTATATTGTTATTTTAATACAGCACAACTGCTGTCTTTCATATTTTCATGCAAAACACCAGCTGCTTTTTACCTAAACTTGATTTGGAGAGCTGATCCATTCGTGGTACAGTCACAATCCAGCTTCGGCGTGACTCTACCACGTAGGGCAGATAACATTTAGTGTAATAGTAGGCACATATTTACCTTTCAAATATTTTACTTTCCCTTATTTTACTCAGTTAACTATTATTTTGCTATAAATATTTGAATTATAATGTTCTCGATAAAAAAAAATAATCCTTAATAATCGAAATATGTATTTGTAACTCTCTCAATGGGAATATATAGAGATTTCTTCCAATATCTTTGAATTTACTTCTGACAAGTACCCGAAAGTTCGAGAGTTAAAAAGTTAAAATTAAATGCGATAAAATCCGTAAAACTAGTTTTATTCCAGGAATATATATTTTTTTATCTCTACAATAATCGTACTCTATGTCCCCAAGTCGTAGGAGTATGTAAGTTTAATATATTTTCGAGCTACCGCAGGAGATCTCATCACATTTGCAGGTCTGCCTGTAACATGTACTCATTGCTGTTTATAATGTCGTGTTCGCGCGCGCACTCCTCTCCGAGCAACTGGTTATTCATTGAATATTAAATATTCACGCACAGTGAGACCAGTAGGTATAAAACTACGAGCGCTTGAATTATGCCTATCCGAAAGTTTTATAGCGGCAAAGATTTTTTTTTATATTGTTTCTTATTGTCTTTGTTATTTCTTGTTATTTATACTCTTATTCCAATCTTTTACTTATATAAAATGGTTTACAAAGGTGCTTTTAAGCTTTATTCCCGATCAAAATTGGACGAAGTGAAATTATGTGATAGCTGCGTTTTGAGTAAATTATCGTTAAATAATAAAAATATGATATTAAATACGTGTATTTTAATTATCAAAAAAATATTTAAAATAATTAAAAAATATGTCACACGCTTGAAAATTATATTTTCTGGCGCTTCCCGGTAATTACAGAAAATAATTATAATCTGCATTTGCCAGACCTGTTCAACAGTAAACTTTTAATAGACTGTAATTAATTAATTAATAAGGGAATTGATTTTTAGAGTTCTGTCATCTACTCTTCACTTTAAACATGTGTTTATAGCACAATATTCATCTCTATTTTAGATCGACTTATACATCTAACGTAATAAATATAAAACACAGTTAAAAATTAAAAACATCCATTTTGTGTTTTATTTTATGTTTGTAATTAAATGTTAAAATGTATAATATTCGAATCGATAAATCATACAAACACAAATATTAAAATGTGATTCTAAATGCATTTTCAAGAATAAGCCCGCAAAAGTCCACTGCCGGATACGAGCCACTTCCGATAGGAAGCTTTGGCTTAATCGCTTTTAAAAAATTCTACAGTGTTTCCTAAATTCCAAAATTGAATATGTTATTGTTTTTGTAATGCAAATACAATAACGTCATTTAAATGCCAATTATCGTGTCAGTGTCGACTCTACATTCGCTACTCTATGTCCATTTCTGTTCGCGGCCTCCGTCCATGCGGCACGGTACAAGCTTCGCGGCAGAAAACATAAACGCATGGCCTCTTGAGAAAGCGGACGTCTGTTGCTTTTTTATTTCTTTGTTTACGTTTGTTTCGTTTTCGTCCGCATTCACGCCGCGTGATTTTATTCGTCCATATCAAAAAGTTTTTAAGATATAGTATTAGGTGCTTTTAATGCCTTTGAAGTGTCGCATTTTCTCGTAGTGCAACGAATTGGTAGATTCGATAGTGTAACGTTTATGGAGAAAGTTTTGACGTGTGAGTTTAAGATGAATGGTATCGTGATGGAATCCGAACGATCGGCGGATAAGGCGGGAAATGATGAACGGTGAGTCATGTAGATTAGAATAGCGTTTCACAAAAAAAAATGTTTTTTTTAAATTGAAGTTTTTTTTAATTAAATTATAGTCAATCTGATAGTAATTAGCTATTGCTTCTATAAAACTAAAGTTAGTGACAAACGAACTTGAAGTCCACCAACGAATACTGCAGTCTATTAACACCAGTCGGCAACTTCTAACAAAGAAGGCGGGTGCGTTGTCACATCTGAGGACTAAGATGGAATGTTTTATAGCCTGTAATAACACTTCAAAATTATTACAGGCTGTAAGGCATTCTCTCTCATTATTTATACTCTGTACCCTTCAGACGGGAACAGACACGCACTGCTGTTTGGCGGCAGAAAAAGGTTATAGAGTAATAATAATAATGTATTCTTAATACCAAACTTCTAAATCAGAAATATTCAACATTATTTTAATTTTTTATCGCAACTATCACAATCGTTTGAAATGTTTATTAAAGTCACGAATGCAATTAAATATAATAATATGTTATTGCATACAAAAGCATTAACACGTAACAAAAACTTCAACATGTGTTTTGCCCTGTAAAACATAACGACATGAGCGAAATCGATAATCGTTAACGCTCCAATTTAAACCCTATTCAGAGTAGCAAAGAAAGCATTATGTTTTTAGGAATTTGATTCACAGAATGTCATAATAACACACACGGAAAAATATGAAAAAAAAAAACGGTTATTAAAGCAACAGATGTTGTATAAAATAAAATAGATAAAGTTCTATTCCCCTCTCAGAAATAAAAGGAAGCCTGTGCCCAGGAGTAACATTTCATGCTTAAGTCAATATAGAATATTAACTAATACTTATGGAAGTTATTTTCATTTAGTACTGGTTTAATAATATTGCTCTTTCAAAGCTTTGGGAAAGACAGCAAGAAACCCTGCGTAATTCTTTTTAAATACCATAGTTGCCTTAATGGTATTTGCTGTTTAAACTAAAATTATTTAACAATAAATGTTAGTATTTAACCCGGTATTTCTCGAACCAGCGGTAAAATGGTGGTATCTGTAAGAATTATATTTTGCTGATTCTAAATAAATAAATACAATTAACAGCCAGTAATATTCGTTTAAAAATCTTAATAACCTATTAAGATAATATTAAGTAATAAGTATAATAAATAATTACGAATTAAAATAATAAAGTTTATTTAAACTAGTAATAATTTTGATGAATTGGGGCGTTAATAAATAAACAAACATTTTATTTCATTAATTATCATTGATGTTAAACACGTTTTAAAAACCATTGAAAGACGTTAACGCAAACTAAACTTTGATAGACACAGTTTTAAACCACAGATTATAAAATATTTTATATGTTATACTCGAGCACTTATCAACTCACATTAAATGTATTTCAATAAATGTATCTTTCTAATCTTAATCTTTTAGGTCATAAATTATTTGAAATATTTATATATTATACTATATGAAATAAATTGACATTTATTATCTTAAAGTTAACAAGGTTTAATTATAAAACTTTAAAAAAAAAGCTAGTATTACTTACGGTTCCATGGCGCAGTGGTTTAGTAATGAGTTGCTGCACTGGGGGCCGTGGATTCGAATCCCGCACGGAACGAGTATTTGTATGACCTACAAATAATTGTTCCCTGTCTGGATGTTTGTCCTTGTGCAATTTATGTTTGTAAGCTGCCTCCATGATACAGGAGAAAATCCTAGTGTGGGAGTTTTTTTTTTTATAGGAGAAGGGTGACAAACGAGCACACAGTCCACCTGATGGTAAGTGGTTGCTGTGGCCCATAGACATCTACCACTATCTTCGATTACGAATGAAAATGCAGATGCGTTGTCACCCGTGAGGACTAAGATGGAATGCCTCGTTTCCAGTAAAAAGGGTCTCCGGTTCTCTACACTCACCATACGAAACACAGCAGCGTTAAGCTGCTATCTGACGCTGGTATTCTGTGAGAGCGTGGCCCTTCCCCGGTCGAGCCGACCCATTCGTGGCTACAACCATAATATAGCTGCAGCATGGCTCTATCACGTTTAAAGTATGTTTTTAAAAAAGAACAAAAGAGAACTTAAGTTAAAAAGATAAAATTGCGCCTAATATACGTTCCACTACTGGGCATGGTCCAACTCTCTTCCTAGAGAGTTCATGGAGCAAATAGACCGACGCGCTGTTCTAGAGCATATAGACGAACTTCAAGTATCCTAGAAAATATTTAATTTTTTTATCTTTTTTTTTATTTATTTAAAAAAAACTACACTTACCTTATCTTAAGTTAACTTATCTTAAGCCAGACTTTTCAAATGGGACAAAACTGCTTTGTGGTTAATCCTCAATTCCTCGGCTATGTCATAGCGTTGACTTTATCCGTTTGAGGGCGACAAGAGAGAGCTGCTTCTTTGACATCAAAATTCCCGGACTGAAAATGCTTGACCCAACTTTGTTCTACTGTTACTGACAACTGCACTAGGTCCATAAACGTCACAAATTTCGTAAAAACGTCGAGTCGCATTTTTCCCTTTTTTATAATAAAACTTCTGAATGTATCTCTGATAGTTAGATTCAGTAATTTTGGCGAACAGAAAAACAATTGCAAAATGGCGGGAAAGTGTTTTTTACTTTTTATTTTTCTTTTTCTTAATATCCTATATGTATTGATAATAAAACCAGCCAGATACAAACAGTACAACCAACGATATTTTTATACAAACATACGAAACATAATACGAAGAAACTTTTTACCGACCGAGTTACATTAAAATTTTCAATTCCACTCGTAAGATTGGAAACTTGTAAGGTCCCGTACTAGTGGAAATTTTCTTCTATAATTAAAAAATAGTCATCAAAATCGGTTTACACAAACACACACACAGTAAAAATACTAAATAAAGTAAACTGACACTACTGACAGAAAGCTCTACAGTTCTATTTTGAATGATTCTTATTTAAATAATAAATAAAACTACCATTATAGGATTAAATGTAATATTAATGAATTTAAATAAATAACCAAGCAGTCCACTTAACTCCACACAAACCTAACGAATTTTATTTCTATACATCTACTTCGTGTGAGTAATGCTTTTATGGTAAGCCTAAAAAGATTTATTTCCTTTCCTTATTTTCTTAAATCTACCTTCAGCGATATGGCCTTTGAGTTTTTATGTTATATTTTGTTAATGATATTTACGCGAACACTACACATTGAATAAAACTACTTTTACGGATTTTATCGCGTTTAATTATGCTTATTTTTAAATTTCCGACGTTTCGGGTGCTTTCCAGCACCCATGGTCACGGGGGACTAAGGTAATTGACGTTCAGAACAGCTCTTTGTTAGAGAGAACACGAGAGATCTATGACAGCAAACACCTGGCACCCGAACTTCAGCACGTCAAGCAGCCCAACTTCTGCACCACAACAAGCTTCGGGTCCCGCGCCTACGTCACAGTGACTGAGAAAAACCGGCCACATTCGAGCGTGTGCCTGCTGTACTACCATATGTCATAGGTGTCACAGACAAGTTTGGCTACATCTTGAAGCGAGCTTCTATTAGAACATTCTTCAAGCTGCCAAAGAAGATTAGTCAGTTCTTACCATCCGTTAAGTGTAATATCCCTCTATGAGATAGTAGGAGCATACCAGCTTGATGGTGAATGTGGTCTCTCATATATAGGGCAAATAAAATAATCTATTAAAAACCGCGGAAAAGAACACATAGCTGAAGTGAAACACCAAAACTCTGGAAAGTCGGCAGTTTGTGATCATATCCTAGACGGCCCCTGCCATTACATTAGATTTGATAGACCACAGATTCTCGCGAAAGAACATCGTTTCCTGCCAAGGTAGAAGAAAAAAAAATAGAGAGGGATACTGGGTACTACCAATTGCTTGGGATACTGTGATTAATAAAATTAAAACTAAATTCAAGCATGCAGGTCTTCAAGACACAGTAAATTCATATTGCGTAGATCGGACCAAAACTATTAATTAAAAAGCTGAAGGTACTCCGGGTTAATTCAGATATCAAGATGTCAATCACCTCAGTCCCCCGTGAACATGGGTGCTGGAAAGCACTCAAAACTTCGAGTATTTAAAAATTTGGCTAATAAACGCGATAAAATCCGTAAAAATAGTTTTATTCGATTATATTTTGTTCATTAATTTGAATAAGATCTGTTCTGATTTCCTAATATAAATGTGGGCATTGATATTTTTTTAATTACTACCAAATAGTTCAGTGCACAGCGAGCTATGAAGAGGGCTATGGGTTTCTAGGGGTTTCTCTGCGTAATAAACTTAAATATGAGGTTATCCCCAGTGGAACCAGAATAACCAACATAGCCTAACGGAATAGTAAGCTGAAGTGGCAGTGGGCCGGCTATATAGATCGAAGAACCAACAACCGATGGGGAAGAAAAGTTCTCGAGTTGCAAAACCTCGTACCGGCAGGCAAAGTGTAGGGTGTCCCTCCAATAGTGGCAAGACATGCAAGTCAATGTATGCAGGTGGCTCAGGACCGTACTTTGTGGCATTTCTTGGGGAAGGCGTGGTAGAGCCATAGAGCTAAATAAATTGTATAGTTGGAGCAGGAATAGGTCGGCTCGACCGGTGAAGGACCACGCTCTCACAGAATACCAGCGAAAATAGCAGCTTGATGCTGCTGTGTTTCGTATGGTGAGTGTAGGAACCGGAGACCTGTTTTGCAAGAGAGACATTCTATCTTAGTCCTCACGGCTGAAAACGCATCTGCATTTCGCAAACGAAGATAGATGTAGATGTCTATTTAGCACAGGAACCAATTACCATCAAGTGGACTGTGTGCTTGCTTGTCATCCTTATACTATACAAAAGGCCTATGTTCGGCAGTGAACTTATGAAAGGCTGTAATGATAATGATAACCACAGAACAACTGGATCTTTGGCTCCACGGGGTTGAGGTCTTTGTCTAATAGTAAACTATTTACGACAATGAATTCTCAGTCCA